CAAGGAAAAATTGTACTTACTTTAATATAATTACATTTTGATATTAGACAATTTTTTTGGCATTAAATATTTAAGAAATACTTAAAAAATAAAATATGTATATGTGCATATAGATATAGATATATGTATTAACACTAATATATAAATTGATTTAGAACCTTAAATAATTATTTATTTTTCTTTAAAATTAAATACATCACTTTAAAAATAAATTTTAATATGAATATTTTTTAAATTTTCAAATAAATCAATTTAATTCAAAGTGCTTATTACAAATTTCAGAATTAATTCTATTAATGGATTGCCAAACTAATTTATTCATGTTTTCAAAAAAATATTATTCATTAGCTTAAATAAGAAGTTATTAGAAACTTATAAAAAAAATCTTTATAAGTTTAAGTAACATGTAGATATACAGATGTAAGTACGTGTGTATGTATGTACGTATGAACACACTCGTATATAAATATCTACAAGCTTAAAATTATATTTGGCCTTATTACACTTTTTCTTTAATCCTTCTTTTAGTTTGGATAGCAATTCTACTTCTATTAACATGATTATTTGGTTCAGTGTTCTGCTTTTAAAAAAACTGTGTTTGTTGCAACTTCAAATTTTTTTGTGCATGAATAATTTTAGTGATTAAGATATCAATTTCTGCTCTAAAAACTCATTTTTACCATGTAATTATCAATTATAAAATATATTATTTTTTAAGATATTATCATAAATAATTCAAAAGAATTATATGAAAAAATCTGCATCCAAATCAAGGTATTATTCTCAAGAAATATAATTAAGAATATGGAATGTTCGCTAGTAAAGCCAGCCAGGTAGACAAAGCAATGTAGGACGGCAATGGAGGTCCAGGCCAGGTCGCGGGCCAGGTCGCGAGCCGGGCGAAGGCGGTGCACAGGTTCCACCCGTGGGCCTGACCTGGCCCTTTCCACCTGGGGAGAGAGGCTCTTGTCGGGAATGCGGCTCTCGATCCGATCCATGCCACGTCAGATTCTCCCTTTGCGTGGGTTGAACATCAGTGCCCGGTCACAAGGCCTCGCAGGTTCGGCGGAACGGGCCCGGTCTTCCATCACTCCACGACAACCCTGTTCAGTACCCCATGCAGAGTCAGTCAGACATTTTTTCATTCATCCACTTTGTTCCTGCTGACGGTTCTCCAACTCTATCGTAATGTGGATTCTCAATTCTCATTTATGTAGCTAAACAAGTTGTCTAATTGCTTGTTGAATGCCTTATTCTATTTGTAGTAAAATTTCATCTATCTTAGCTTTAGTAGGAGTTCTGTAACACCCACCCATAATAAATAAAGGGGTGTTAATACGGTGCTAGATTAAAAATACTGTGACCAAGATTCAATCTAGTATTAATGTTGAATTAATATTGATGATGATGATGATGATGCATTTGCTAATTCAAATGAAATCAAGTTAGTATTAATTATTTTGATGTAAGTTAATTAAAATTTAAAAAACTTATATTCAAGAGATTATTGGTTGTAGCTTTTAAAAAATTAAAATCGATTGAGCAATAATTTTAGGAATGCATGACAAAGACAATGGTGGAGCTCAAACAACACCAATTCTCTATTAAACAACTCAAACAATAGATGAATAAATTACAGGAGGTCCAAGATCTTCCTTGCATTCTCTTAATGAAATCTCTGATAATTGTGACACAATTTTGGTTTTCTTAAAACCATTTTGCAAGGACTCTTTCCATCTTTGAATATTTAAAAATTTGTTGTTGTTTGTGGTTGAAAGTATTGTCTTCATCCAATCACAACATCTCAATTGAGCGCTTCAAGATTGATGAGGTTGCTGGCTCACTAACCTTAATATTGTGCTCTATTTTAAGCCAACACTGCATCTTGGTTTGCAAAAGCTAAGGATTTTTTCTGTAATCTTGTACACAACAATGCAGCTCTTGTTTGTCATTGTTGAGTGCTTTGAGCATTGTTAAGGCAAAGTCGTTGTTTGGTGAGTTTAGAGCAAAGAGCATAGGTCAGAAGTAACAGAGAGCACATTTTGGTCTATAACAAATGTTGCACAATTTGCCACCATGTCTTAGCTAATAATCTATATAAACTAATAGAGGTGTATTGGCCCCAACAATATTAGTTTATAGATATCCCATTGTATTATAAATAACAAGTACATGAACTTTTGAAGTAGGAAAAAGCATTATATAGTATTCGTGGCAAAAAAGAAAAAGAAAAAATCTTTATAAGAGGATAAGTGTTATAGATAAAACTTATATATTAATAAGGGTAATGAAACATCTATCCAACTTAGAACATAATTTGTAAGCGCTAATTTTATAATCCAAGTCATAATGGAATCTATATATATATATATATATATATATATTTATTAAAAAATTACAATAATAAATCTCTCTTGATATTGAAATTTCATAAAACATAACAATACATATAGAAAAATACAAATGTACAAGAGCTAGGAATAATCCCATGCAAAGATGTAAAATATCTCTACATCAAGAATCATTTATTAAGATTTATTTCTGACAAAGTAAAATTTGAAGTTATTCATCTATGTAAAACTTGTAATTTTTTACATTTAAATCTGTCTATGTTTTACGAAATTGATATTCAATGATTTTTATTTTTTAACTTAGTTTTTAATGGTAAATTCTTATCTTTTTGAACTTATGATCCTCTATATTTACTTTTATTTTTATTTTTCTTCAAAGTCAATACAAGAGATGTCTATCCTAACATGTCACAAGATGGTATGTTATTATTTTAAAGCATTGTATAGTTAGAAATCTGTGCATAGCTTTTAGTAGAGTGACAGATGTAATTAAAAAGGTCACTATTTCAGGACATAGCATGAACACTTACTTTGCATGTGCATGTAATGTATAAATTATAATGTGGTACTCTTCTATTATTGTCTTTGTTTTTTCTTCTTTTCTTTCTTATTATAAAAATGATTATATGCATTAGGTGAACTAAAAACCTATAAAATCTTGTAGAAAAAAATGTAAAGAAGAAACTTTACATTTTTGCAATCTCAATGTGGTGAGGCAAACCTTTTAAAGACTTTGAAATCCTTAAGTAACAAGAATGCATGTAGAGAGTCTCACCCACAAGACTTGTTCAACCAATTGACAAACCTTGTGAAATATTGTTCAAACATGAAAGAATTCTATAACTGTTGTGTTTGGTGGTAGTTGCAATCTCATCCCTCAGAAGTCATGGCAAGACTTGAAATATTTAATTTAAAAAGGTTGTGGTAGAAAGCAACTAACTGTGTCTTAAAGGTAAATAAAATCAGTAATAATAAAAAAACATATCAACACAGTAAAAATCCTGTAACTATACTAAATAGTTTTGTAACTCATAGAAAAACAAATAGATTATTTTTATTTATTTTTAAAATTTAATACTGTATATTTGAGCAGAGAATTTTATAACTCAGGAATGTTGTTACATTACAAATAGAAATACAGTTCGGACCATGGTTCGAAATTACATATATTTTCGTTATCAAATTTATTACTTCTACAACTCAAAATTCTTATTCTCGTACTGTAACTTGACTAAGAACAGAGTCGGCAACTTGATGTCAAGATATTTATGATTGCTATAAATCAAGATGCATGTGAGAGTTTGGAGTACATATGAATGATAATATTATCTCTCAAGAAATAAAGAAATAGAATAAAACAATGTTTCTATACAAATATACAACTAGTTATTTCCAACCAAGTTGTGTTTTGGTTTTTTCTTTCTTTATCACTTCCCAATACAAAAATAGATTACACGATCCATGATCAAAAGACCTATTCCAAATCGCTGGCTCGACTTTAAATTAAAACAATGTCAACAGTTAGAAACAAATTCAACATCCATGAATTCTTGTAATTTAAATTATTCTCAATCGAAGTGTCGTAAATCATTTTGTGAATTATCAGATGTGACACCAACATCAAAGAAGATTGAAGCAAATCAAGTCCACATTCATCCATAAAATGGTTACAATTTGTTTATAATTAAATACGACCATTACTAATTAATTAAACAACACATTATAATTTGGTAACCGAGTTTCCAAAACCAGAAGAACAAGGGACACATTCATCCGCCGTTTGATCATCCATGTATAAACAGTGTGTTCATCCGTACGTGCATCGTCGAAGAAGGCAAGGGTGTGGATCTCGGGGGAGGCGTGGGATCGTAGAAATCCAAGCCCGTCAATGGGGCTGTAGGGATCCAACGGGAGCTGGCGCTACTCTGGATGCAGGGCAGAAAAAACGGCGCCTTGTAACATCAGGATTCAAACTGTAATAAATAATGAGCGCGGCAGCAACCAGTCAGCACTAAGATTAGAATTCAAAAATCAGTCAAGGTTTGCAGTTACTGAGGGAGGCAGACAGACTGAGTGTGCTATCGAAGGACGGTTCATTGGTATGCGAGAACGTGCGCAGCTGACTCATGACCGCCATTCTTGGGAGGTTGCCGAAGGATATTCTGTTGAGAAAGACGAAGGCGATCGGGTGCACCGTCGATGGAGGAAAGCATGCCCATGCTAAGTTGCTTTGGGCAATCTTTGTCGTGGGAGCGTTGAGTCGGGTTAGGATAATTTGGTGGTTTACAGGGTCAATCGGTCGTGCGTTGGGGCTCCAAGGCGAATTGAAGCGGACTCTCACGGCGACGAGGGGTGAGGGAATTCTAGGAATGCTGGTTAATGGAGTTGCGAGGTAGGGGATGCTTGAGGCAATAGTGAGCAGTTTAGTCTGACTAGGTGGATCAGTCCCGACAGATAGCCATGATGTAGACTTTGCATGCCTAGGTCCCCGCGGAGGTGGTCAAAGGGGGGTATGCATTATTCCTAGTCACGTCACGCGGAGCTTCGATATCTGGGTTCGGGAATGATGATTTGGGAATGCAAGTTCCGTGCGAATTCAATCTCGGAAAGATTCTTAGCATGTGCGAAGAAATGGAGGTTGTGAACTTTTCCAGTGTTTTACTGAAGAGTGTGCATGACTGTAATGCTGCTTCATGTGAAGCGCTTCCTTTTGTGACCGATTTGTTGGTGCCGTGCTCATGACAAATACTTTTGCGTCTTCATGTCTATCTGAGGACATCGAAGAGATTCTCTTCGTGAAGTGGTGGAGCGCAGGCAGGAGAAACGGTTAAGAAGACAAATAGGATCAGTAGGATCTTAACCTCTTGGTTGAATATATCGAACTCTATTCTAGTGGCTCCTTCTGCCCATTGGAACCTTTAGATAATCGGCTGCAGATCGGAGTTGGAAGTTGTCAAAAGAAAATATCAACGTTTCTAGCTGAATAGAAGTACGGAAGTCTTTTACGAGTTGTGGCGTATTAGTTTTAGAAATTTTAAGCATCTTGAACGTTCGATGCAACTTACCATTATACCTGACTTTTTTGACTTTGTAGGAACGGCTATAATGTTAGTAGTTTATCGTCCAGTATTCTTCGACCCTCACCGAATTGCTTATGCATAGTGCTATGGCCAGGTTTAACTGTAGTTGTCTTGCCTCTAGCAACCTTTTGTTGTGGTATGCTATATTGTTGACAGAGTTTCGTAAGTTCAGGTAGGGCATCCTCTCTCTTAATTGTCACTGAGATCATGATTTGTCTACAACAGGTAATCTAGCTGACTTGAAAGCATCCTAAATTTTTTTGAACTACGGTTTGCACTCGTGTCTGTTTTTGTCTTTGTAAATTCTCTGAATACAAGCTTTCTATGTTACTATGCTCACAATCTTCCCTAGTTCCAGTTTCTCATGTGTCACAAGCATGGAATTTGACAATCTGATTTAGTTGTGCTGAGTAATGCAACAATTGTTGGAGAGTTTAGGAACTTGCCTTTAAGTGGTTGTAAGTACAGAAAGCTCAAGTCAATTCCAGAAGTCGCCTTCAGCTATCTCATTGACGGACAACACCTGCAGTTAAAAACATTTGCTAATCAGCACATTTGTGTGCGTGCAGATCGTAGCAAAGATAATATTTTGGAAGGCGATTACGTGACTACTTGTTGGGCTTGCATAGTCACGTGTCTCTGCAAGCTTGATTAAGTTCAGGAGTTGAGTCGTCAGGCACATGTCCCAACATGGTAGAGCCTGGATCAGAGAAGCCACGGCTTCAACTGTTGAAGGCCGTGAGGGGGGTGATTTTGATATTGATATTGATGAATCTGAGTTTATTCGCCTTAGGGGTTTGTGTCGCAACCGCGCAGATGCAGTCAAAATATCCTACAGAAGTGGGATATGCAATTTTTCTGGCAGCTACAGCGTTGGTCCGGGTGATTTGGCTAATTGTCAATGGATTTATCCAAGCCATGACCGCATCGGTTATGAGTACGAAGAAGCCACCTACGGACTGCTTGGAAGCTAAAATTGACCCCGAGGCAATTGAAATCGATCAGCGGGTGAGCATTTTAAAATTTATTATACAGACTTTAGTTTTCCGTAATCTTAGGGCACGGCACTGTGAATTACGCCATCTTACTGTCCAGCGTATCATTGTGTGTATCATAATGTTTGCATATATATATCATTTCAATAATCTTCTGTTAAATTGATTCGTCGCCTGCAATCTTACTTTGTCTGGTGTATTCAGCTTGTGTCGGTATTTGAAGTTAGGCATTTATATGAAGACTTCGGGTGTCGTTCCTCAAAGAATGCTGTGGCTGAAGTCACTGTGCTTGAATTTCTGCTTGTGTGCTCCAGAAGCAGCGCTGGTATATGCTGTGGTTCTGGTGGAACCGCCTTGGCACATTAGTGTTGATTTCACAAGTATTGGTTGCATGGCTCATGATTAGAAGCCGTGATCACAAACAGCACAGTAAGCACCGGCGATTCCTAATTTTCCTGTAGGAAAATTTGTATGTGTTTCATCCTTTGATGTCTTGGATAGTAGGATGAGTAGTAGTGTCATTGATATGTCGGATGAGCCTAGAATTCTGATTTCAAATTTGAAAGTTTCCATGGCAGGCAACAGTGATCAGCGGCTTCAAAATCTTCTTTCGGTTTTACCATTAGCCAATGTGGTAGTAATCATCTTTAGTTGGTTCACGGGGTCTGACGTAATATCGTGGTGTTCACTCTACAAGACCAATGACGCTTGGAGGGCTCATTACAATGAAGCTTTTCGTTGTCGTATTCGTGAAGCTCTTTTCTGCTTGGGGCGACGCCGCTATCTGTATGTTTCACATCCTTTATTTTTTCCGCTGATATTTTCGTTACAAATACTCATTGAAAACGGAAAATTTGTCTTCATAACTTTACAAGGAAGGGGTTCATGAAGAGTTTCTTTTCTGTAGTCTGGAGAACATAATTTTTTTGACTGATTTAAATGGATGTGTAACCTAAATAACAACACCACTAATGCATGTACAATCTGAATGACGTGCTTCCGCTTGATATGGCTGATCTGTTTAGCTCAATGGAAATTGGTGCCCTAAGTCATCAGTGATATAACTATACGCTTCTTTGCTGTTCTACCCTCCACTTTTGACGAGATACAATTATTTCAGATTCAAAAAACCAATTTTTACACCTGTTTTAACGCAACGGTGATATTTCTTCACACTGCAGTGAACAAGAACAGAATGAGGAAGTAAGTGCGGTTGCTAAATTGTTGGGTGGAATGGTTACTTATAGGGCTAAAGGCTGCAGCCATTTGGAAGTTTTAGGGGGTAAAGTTTACTCGATTTCCTGTCAACCTTCATTTAGATTTTGTTGAATTTGAGATCTATGTGTCTTGATTGATCCCTGTTGACAGTTTCGCTGAATGTGAAGGACCTGATTTTAAGGTTTATATCAGCTCACGAACCCTGCTTCACTAACCAGGATCACTTGATTGCTAGTCGCTTTTTAGTGTTCTTAGTGTATGTATCATGCTGAAAGAACCTAGGCATCAGAGTCATTAGCCTTCCCTCACTTGAACAGACAAAGCACGTGGAACATATCTTCACATGATGGCGTTGAACTTAATGATGACACAAGTTCGGTGTCTTAAATTTAACAGGGGTGTCAATGCTGCGTGACGTTAAACAACAATCGCTTCAAAGTGAAATGCAAGTGCTTGCACTGGAGGATCAAATTCGTGAAGCTAGTGTTCTTCATCCTTATGCTGTGGCGGCATATACTGTAAGTGCCAGCTTCAATTTCAATTTTGCAGCATCCAAGTTACACCCTTTCCTTCTATGATTATTCCTGATAAACGTAACGCTAGGTATTATGATCTGTGTTAAGAACCAGCACCTCATTCTAGTCTCAGGATCATTCTTGATCGTTCTGTGAGGGTTACATTTAACATTTTTTGTGGTACTAATTCTCCTCTAAAAACCCTTTAACTCACACACACACACATCCATATATATATTTATACATTTTTTTTTCAGGGACCGTTGCTTGAAGTCGGACGCTATCCGTCTTGCTGGCTGTTAATGTGGCTTTATAGCCAAGGTGTGTGTTCCTTCTGGAAATGCGGCAGGTACATCTCATTTTACTCTTTCTGGGCGAAGCAGGTTGTCTAAACATTCACTTCAGAGCTACAAACTAGGAAATGTAGCAAACTAGTTCTATGCTGGTTACCTATGCTAGTCATTGGCAATGATTAGCCTAACAATTTGGATTTTTGATCACGATGGATCATATGGCTGTTACCGAAGTGTTTCTACAACTCCATCACATATTGGTAGAGGTTTTACTGTAACAGTGAGTTAACTCTTTTTGCTATGATTTTCATCGTAGAGGACCTTATTAAAATGTTATCTTATCACTCACAGGCGTCCAGGTGTTTTGGAAGGAGATAACTGGTGGAGGGGTCATACTGCTGCATTTCTTCGGCATTCACGATTACCTCCTGAACCGGATGCCCGTCTTATTAAAGGTCGTGTGCTGCAGGTATACTTACCAAATTATATCCTATTGGTGTCAGTTCTCACTGCATTTTCTCCTGCATGTGGTGTCTAATCTTGATGTAATGTAAACTTCACCCTCATGCCTTGCTCTGATTTTCTCATGTGTTGGAGAGTTTATTTTGAAAAAAAGCTCTCAGATGGGGAAAGCGCAAAGAATAGTCTCAAAATCAAGCATGTGAAACAAATAGACCGTGGTGTTATTTAGGCATTGATCTTTTTTCATGGCGTGTGCATTTTCACTGAAGACGAAAAGGGAGTCGGCATACTTTGTGGTGGTTTTGAAAAAACTTCGGGTAGTACTGGTGGCAGTTCGTGGAACAGAGACTCCTGAAGATTTGCTTACAGATGGGCTGAGCAAAGTATCTAAACTTGCTGACTCGGACTTGCTGGGTTTGTTGGAGTAAGAACTCTCTCTTCTGTAGCCTTTGCTAATTTTCTGCCTTCTTCGAGAAACATAAAGACTTCTTCACACTATGTTCGCGTGATGTTGGGTTGTTTCCCAATAAATATATCTGTGAGTGAGAGCGGTAAATCTAGCTCCAGCCAATTCAAAATTCTTTTTTTGAATACAGAGGACCACATGTTCCAGAGGAGTTAAAGCAGAAGGTGAATAAGGGATCTCATTATGCACATAGCGGAATAATTGAAGCAGCTCGCGAGCTCTCAATGCAGCTCGATAATTTGGCTGAGGTTGACGATGACGTCATGGCTGCTTCTGATTTTGCTTCTATCGGGGGTCCCACAGGTTTGTAGAACACATTTCTTTAGCTCGTGAACTTCGTGGAGGGATCGAAAGGGTGGCTGTATTGTATATGAACCTCATTTATCCGGTAGCAAAGAAAATTCACTCACGACTAAGGCCTTTCGACATCTTGGGACCTCTACATAATACTTTCTGTGGCCAGCTCATTTATGTAGGCGAATTATAAAGGTAGATAGGTTTAGTGCCCTGTTTTCTTCGCTGATTGCGAACATTCGTGGCTACAAATGGATTTTTAGCTAGCGAGGTGCCGAAAGGAGATGCTCGGCAAGGATTGCTTTCAAGATTGTTGGGTCCTGGAGGAGATTGTGAAGGATATGACCTGCGAATTGTGGGACACTCGTTAGGAGGTGCAATTGGTGCTCTAACAGGTTTGAGGGTATGAATAATCGACACCGATGTGATTGTTTATGTTATATGATATCTTATGTATAACCTCCTTGAAGGTTTTCGATGATTGTATAGGTTATCTGCCGAGTAGAATGTGTTCTTCCGCGGTTGATATTGGATTAAGTTATGATAATAAGGAAGTTCCACCGGCAGTGATCTACTGATGCAAATCATTTGCCTCTCAGCTTCTTTTGTGAACTTGCCACACTTTTATTTGAGTAAATATATTGGAGAGAGTCATAGTTTTGCAAACCCATTGTTTTAATGTGTGCTATTATGAAGAGATTTCTTTTTCCAAACCCCCTCCGAAGATGTCCCAAAGCAACAGTTTTCTCTATGTGACAGTTGTACAAACGGTATCCGAATTTGCGTGTCTATGCGTTTGGAGTCCTACCATGTGTAGACAAAGACACAGCTGAGGCATGTCAAGACTTCATCACCAGGTTAGATGTGCAATTAAAACACAGATTTCTGGAGATATTGGTGTCAACATCATTCTGCGTAATATTTTCATCATGATATTGTACGGAATCAATTTGACAAAAAAGTGTTGAACAACAGTTGTGTGCCCCCGCATCTCACAACTCGACATTTCTGATGGCAAGTGCAGTGTGGTCTACCATGACGAGTTTGCATCCCGTCTCTCTGTGGCATCGATAACGCGATTGCGCACTAATGCTCTGGGCGCCTTATCAGAGGCTGCTAATTCAGAAACAGAAAAGAGTGCTGAAGGCCAACGGTTGTTTTTTTCTAATGTAAACATGTCAAGCGAATCATGTAGCTATCTATTTCACAGTTGCTCATCAGGAAGCAGCAATAACGTTGACGGAGCTCCTAGAACTGGTCTGCCTTTATCCCAAAAAGAGAGCGACTATACAAAGCTAACTTGCACACAGAGGCTGCCATACGTTGTCAAAGGTGGAGTATTCTTGTGTGCTCACTCTTGCTTATGTGCGCTCAAAATGTCTCAACACCACGAGGCAATTCCCCTCAGCGAAGAAGTTGATCGTTATGAGAAGAGCTTGTCAACTCAACGAAACAGTCGACATAATTCCTTATCATCCGAAGACGAGAATCACGGAGAAGGGTTGCTGACAAGGTTGGTTCCTCCTAATCCAATTGGAATCGACAAAGGACTAAGTGTGGCAATAGACATGCAGTTGCATGAAAGCTGGACCCATGAGGACGATGCCAATTCTGAAAGTAATAATCATGATATCGTGAGGCAAAGAGGATCCATCTTGCCAACTGAAATGGGTTCTGAGTTTCCCAATATTGCAGCTGACGATACATTAGAAGAAGATTATTGTCCTGAAATGCTTCTGCCTGGAAAGGTGATACATATTGTGCGCGACGAGGAGCCGTCTGTATCCTGGAGGTCTTCAATCTGGAACCCATGGCCAACGGAAGATATGTCAAGCTACCGTGCTCTGGCGGCTGATCGACGAGAGTTCCAGGACCTTACTATTTCTCCTTCAATGTTTACAGATCACATGCCATGGAAGTGAGTTCTTTCTATCGCGGTTTATGAAATATCACATCTCCTTAATCTCAATTTTTTTCGATCCTTCACCGTCCGTGGGATACATTCCATTTGCATCATTGATTTCTAAATTCGTAACTCTACCACTGTCCTTTGTTTCAGATTTTAAATAGACTCTTCTTTAATTTTATCTCAAAGTTCCGAAGATCTTTAAGTTTTCCTTTACTTTGCCGCACTTGATCGTTGTTACAGCCTGCTGCAATGTCCTTCTAACATAGCCTCGTTTGGACTGTTTTCAGGTCTCAGCACGCATTAAATTGGATCGTCACTAACATACTCAATCGTTCAAAGCCCGCTCCTCCAACAATTCCACAACATAAATCATCATTTGATATTTGTGTTACTATTCTTCCTTGAGTTTCCCTGGCTGATGGAGATTGCATGACGGAGCATTTATGCCTGTGCAGATTCTTTGGTAACCCATGTTCGCTCTAGCAGTAACGTGGATCGTTTATTAGCGCGAAGTTATTTTGCAAGAATCTCCGTCTTTTATTGGGAAAACGAGAACCCGCAACGTGTACACGATTGAATTGATAACTTGCCGCACCTTAAATTACACAACAACAATTGAGATGTTACAATCTATCGCTCTCACTGCCGATCCATGGAGAGTGGGGATTTGTTAAACATTCTCCGGTCAGAATATTTATCTTTCTTCAACTGTATTTCGAAGTACAGGTGAAACTCCACCATGCCACAAGCATCGTTTAAGTGGAAGTTATTGAGCAGTTGATTGGCGTAACCCCAAATTTTATTGGTGCTTGATGGGCTAATGCACCTTCAATGTAACGTTGGTAGCCTAAAATAATTGTTTCTCCCTGATTCGATATATGGTATTATTGTGCAGGAAGATTTGCTACTTCTGCTCTAGGGAAGTTATTATCAATTTTTTATTCCCTTCATGGACCAGTACTTACAAGTGTGCAGGCGACCTGTCTTGTTTATGTGTCTGAAAAGGTGCCAGTGAAGTCACTTTTTTGTTCAAGAAATGGAATAGTCTAACAATATCTGGGACCAGGGTTGTCCCATTGTCATACTATACGAGAAATGTGCACATAATAAGCTCAGAATACTGTTGCATGTTTTACATCTTGCATTCACCCAATGTTCTAAAACTAACGCCTGTCATGGAACCAAATCCAGTCTTGATACCTTTTTCCACATATATGGTGTGGATCCACTATGCATCCTGTGAACTATTCGAAAACAACTCGCATCATACCAAACTCGTACTATGATGTATTCTCCAAATCTCGAGCTGAATTGAACTCCCCAAAGATCTGAGGTAAGCCTCTGTGACCTTGAGTTGTATCTCATGGTTCCGTACGTTCCTTCTCCTTGTCTGCACTGTGTCTACTACACTCAACAAGCATTATAATATGAAGCTCCTGTAAATTGGTGTAGAGAGAATTGTCCTCGAGTGGTCCAGTGTCAGTCACAGTTTTCGTAGTGCACATCAGCTTCAAGAAGTCCTCTTAGTGCAGTCTTCCTCTCAACAACAATACTGATGCTCTGCTAATGTTCTCTGGTGGGTTTGCTTTTATGCTAACACCTTTATCTGCACATAGATGTTTGTATCTTAGCCCTCTGTTTACTTCTCAATATTTATCTGTTATAACCTTGTTGATTATCTGAACAAGAGTATGTATTAACCAATACGTACTATTCGCTATTCTTTTGGACTTCCCCAGGAGCTGAAAAGTTGTATTTTCAATTCCCTGGAGTGAAAGAGAAAGGTTTATCCATGGCGGCTTGAGATTGTCATCTCTTAGATGGCATTTACTCCTTAAGGACACACAGATACAGAGACTTATATATATACATGTGTACGTGTAAATTCGAAAAAAGAGAAGTTACTTTCACTGACGAATCGCCTAGAAGGTTAGGGCTTGTGTGGGAGTGGAGGAAGTCCTTTGAGAAGATTTGAGAACGGTAATGAAAATCCAAGATTGCTAAGTAATTATGTCTCCTCACAGAAGAAGTGTGGTCTCACACAGTTAATGCAGGTTGGCCTAGGACCAAGCGAAAGCCTTGCCTAATTTTGAATGACCAAACCTTGCCATGTAGATGATGTGCCTGCAGGTACCCTCTCTATAGCCGTCAGACTCAACATCTTTTAATTGATTATTGAAGCATTTCGATTTAAAAAATGATGTCTGTTATATGATGTGAGTAATACTTGTCAATCGTTTTTCATGCACCAACTGTATTGGAAATAGTTGTTAGAAGTTGATAGCTTAGAACGAATTGTTTGTAATGGTTGTCTATGTAATTTGTGCCCTTTCAAGTGCAATAATTTTCTATCCAAAAACAAAACAGAAACCAACGTAACTATTTGAATTTAGGAAGTTGTTTGAACAATTTTTGACCAAAAATTGTATACTGGATTTATTTTTGAGGAGAGGAGAAAAATAAAATCAAAATGAATTAGGTAAATATATCGGGGACTTTTAGAACGTATTAATTAAAATAAAAAACGATTAGAAGTTGCCACAAAAAAATTTAATTAGTTTTATTACCTATACTCAAGCTGGTAGTTGATTAGTATGAAAAGAATAGTTTTAGAATTCTGTTTTGAACGTTAAAATTCAAACAATGGCGACCAACATGGGAAAAAATGATGCCAGCCTCTCCATTTGGCAGCTGGAAGAGTTGGTGCCATGTCAGCACATGAAACTGCCGACTCCTACAGGGAAACCATGCCCACACGTCTTTAAAGAGTAGCATTTGTTGAAACTTATGTCCAAAACTCTAATTCGTCTTCTCTGTTCATCGTAGCATGTCAGCCCTCTTATCGCTCAACCCACAGTATTTAATCAGAGGCCCTTCGCCTCTACTTGGTGTGCTCTGACTCTTCCCACAGTGGTATTGTGTTTGATAATTGTTTCAATATCATGTTACCCACCAAGGTACTTTGTTCGCTATTGTTTCAATATGGTATCAGAGCTCCTTTTCCAGGACAATTAGGAAAGAGGTGATCTCCTCTTAGTGATAGCATAGCCACTCATTCCATCTTTCACCTTGTAATACCATACGTCACAGTGATCACATATTTCGTTCTTATCTCCTTCTCTAGCAGTTGTACCTCAAATGGTTGACTTCGCCATTAATACAATGGTGGATCAAGCAGTCGCAAATTTCAGCGAATAGATAGAGTTTAGCTCCAACTTTGGTGGACAACTTGCACAACCCAAGGCACTAGACACGGCTCAAAGACCATATCAAACAAGTGACTGTTTGATCCCATAACAATATCACTTGGAGTGGCCAGACAACCAGGGGATCTGGGTTTACTGACAAGTATGCATTTTTTAAGAGAATGACACTGCATTGCGACAAGCTCCCATGTTACTAGGATGTGGAATCTAAAATCTCTATTGCGAGGATTAAAACCAGATAGGTTCAATCTCATCGTACCAACCCCGCTTCAAGGCCGGCGGCCCCGATTACCCGACTGCTGCAACTTTTGTGGTGAGGCGAGTCACTTTGAATGCGAGTGTGACACCAAAGCTCATATCAACAGGGCGAATGACTGAGAGCATTGGTTATTACAAAAGCAACGCACTCACACCATGGATAAATAAGCACATCAAGTCGAAATCGAATAATCCTTGTCGTCCAGCGGAGGGGATTTCTATCAACATGACGACGTCATCGCCCATCAAGTAGCCAATGCTTGCTTCTCTCAATTGGAAATTAATTCTGTAGATTCTAGCAATTCCAAGATTAAGTGGTATTTGGATTATGGCTCATCCAACCACATCATAGGCAATCACCATGCTTTCTCTTCTGTGCGTCCTTCCAGCGGTCATAGAGTCCGATCTGTAAGTGGACACAGTCATTCAGTGACAGCAATCGGCAATTTATCTATGATCAATGAATAAAATCCATAGAAATGTAAAAAATCTAATCTCTGTTGGCTATGTAGCTGAAAAGACACGAGTCTTGAGTTCGTCGCGAAAAGGTGCTTTATTTGTCGACGGCAAGATCACTCCCTAGTCACATATGCCAAACGAGATCGTGGCAATGGGTTGTATCAACTCGATCTATCCACAATAGTTGATAACAGATCACATCAACGTAATCCAACATCATCGGCCACGTCAAAGTTCTCCACTGCTGCCCCAAATCAAACATAACAAACATATGGCATGCCCGCCTTGAACATTATCACACAAGGGGATTATCCAGAATGACTCAGCATCGAATCGTTCTCGGACTCCCCACCTTTTCAGGACCTTCTAGCCCTTGTAAAACCTGTCTTCTCGGTAAGCAGAATAGAAAAAAGATTTTGAGATTAGCTCAGCATTGCGCCTCTGGAATTCTCAAAACCAACCACTCCGACACCTGTGGCCTCTTTCCTGTACAATCCTTTAGGTGGCGCATATTACTTAATGACTTTTATTGACAATTATTTAAAAAAACTTTGAACTTACTTCATGCAATACAAGACCAATACTTTTCAAAAGTTCCGACAATTTAAAGCAGAGATCAAGAACTCTTCTAGACAAAACATTTGTACACTCTGCACCAACAACGGAGGCGAATACTTGTCAAAATCATTCACCAGCTTCTTATTGGCAGCCGGCATCACTCGTGAGCTTACGCAGTCTTATACCCCACATTCCAATGGCGTTGCAGAACGCCGGAATTGGTCCCTGCAGGACATTGTTTGATTTCTCTTGCTTGATAGAAAACTGCCGCCTCACTTTCGGAGTGAGGCTGTTCGGGCTGCCACCCTCATCCTCAACCTGCGCCCATTTAAAACTAGCCCAGATAAGAGCCCGAGGAGATCTTCACAGGAACTAAACCCACCGTGGCTCATCTCCGCATTTTCGGATCCGCTGTGTACGTACAACAATCCAAAGCACTTCGATCAAAACTCAACCCCAAGTCTCGACCTTGCATCCTATTAAGCTACGACATACAGGTAAAAGGCTGGCGATGTTATGATCCATCCACTAATAAGGTTCTAAACTTGGCTGATGTACAAATACTTGAAGCTGAATCTGCGTCTCTTCTCCCAACAAAACTGGATCCAACACCGATTATGAGAGGACCTCCTCTTTCAAATATGTCATCTAATACACCCAACGTTCCCGAACTCGCTTTACCTGCGACAGATCTTTTGGGTATGTCGCAAAGCTGATATAACAGTCCGTCTTCATCTTCAACATCTGATGGAATCGCGATCCTCCTTACGGCACACCTAAGCGATGCTGCTCCCACACCACCGCATATTCTATTCTTTGTCCAGGATACACCGGCTCCACCTTCACCGCAACCTCGGTCTCCACACCTAATTCCTGCACCAGCACCGATAGACCCGAGTGTCTCCTGTGTGCCTACGCTCGTGGTCCCCCCATCTCTTTCTCAGCGTCCCCGCCGCGATTGCCAACCTCTTGCAAGATTTAATGACTTTAGTGCTTACTCCAAGGCAGTTGCATGCAACATGGAAGGTGGGGAAAATATCTCTTTTTTGGAGGCCTCTCGCAACCCTCACTGGCAGCGCGCCATGACTTTGGAACTTCAATCCATACACGACAACCACACGTAGTCTCTTGTTTCATTACCCTCTAGTAAACGCTTGATAACAGCGCGATAGATCTTTAAACTGAAACCTGGACTTGATGGTTCTTCGACGCCATACAAGGCGCGTCTCATCGGCAGGAGTTTTTAACAGCAACGTGGAATATATTACCGAGAGATCTTTGTCTTGGTAGTCCGTTGGGAGACTATCAATACCGTCGCTGCTATTGCTTCCGATAATTGCTGGCCGATTCATTAGCTCATTGTATAAACCGCTTTTTTAACGACCATCTTGACAAGGAGGTCTATCTTCAAAAACCTCCCGGTGTTGTCCTTCCTAGCCACGAACATATGGTCTACCGCATACACCGATCGTTGTACGGTTTGAAACAAAGTCCCCACGCATGGTACTCCTACATAGACAGCTACTTACAACGCAAAAAGATGCTCCTTTCTCAGGCCGACCCAAATGCATACTACCGCCATGACTCCCGCAGTCATCCTCCTGTTATATGTGGACGGCGTAAAAATCACCGGCATGTCTATATCTCTCATTTTAGAGTTAAAACAACAGTTGCATCACAAATTTGTAATGACGAATCTCGGCCCCATTTGGCGTTTTCTGGGAGTTGAGTACTCCACCAGTACCGTTGGTCTCCTTCTTCATCAAACAAGCTACGCTCACAATCTTCTCACACAATTCTAAATGGAAGCTTCTCATCTGTCCTACATGAAGGTACCAAACTCAGCAAGGACATCAGAACCCCGTTTTGTGACATTCTATTATATCGAGCCTTAATCGGACAGCTCCATTAGCTCACCAAAACGCGGCCCGAACTTGCTTTCGCCGTCGAACTGAACAGCCGGTATACAAACGCATCCCAGCAAGCTCACCTTCAAGCCGCATGCGGCTTCTTGCGATACGTCCGCCGCCACCCATTTCTCGGCATTTCCTACAAAGCTGGGGAGGAAACTCGTCTAAAAGGCTTCTCCGACGCAAACTTTGCACAAGACCCCGACTATTTTATATCCACATCCGCCTGCCTATTCTACCTTGGCATCTCACCGATCTCCTGGAGCTCCCGCAAACAAACATCAACGGCGCGCTCATCGTGCGAGTTGGAATACGGAGCACTAGCCAACTGCACGTGTAAAGCCATATGATTACGAAGACTGTAACAAGAATTTCAAATTCCAGGTACGGGCCCAACCATCTTAGGATGTGACAAACAAAATGGAATTATAATATCACAATCTGGTATTCCATGATAAAACCAAACATTTTGATACGAATTGACATCTTACTAGACAGAAAATAGAATCTGGTACAATCAACGTAGTTTACGCAAACATGCAGGAACAACCCGCGGACATGTTATCTAAACCACCAAGTAGAGGCGAAGGGCCTCTGACTAAGAACAAAGTTCGAACTTGGTTGAAATAGACTTGGTCTGAAAACCCTTGGACAAATTCCTCTGCTGCTACCCTAGTTTTGAACATCTTAAAATCCGCTCCCTTGTATCCCTTCACATCCTTTTCGCAATCCAACCAACTTAATTACACTCTGGGTGTGTACCCAAGCTTGACTCCATAGTATTTCACGAGTCAAACAACCTCTGAACCAACATCGCGAGACTCACACCAAAGCTGCCTTAATTCATCTACTCCTGGTGTACGTAAAGAAGTCACCGCAGCTTCAGAGGGGGCTCGAATGGTCTCATCGTCTTGCATTACTACTAGTCCGGGGATCAGACAAAGCTCAAGCTTCCTAGCCAATTAGAATCCCTAAAGCAAATTAGAAGAGCCCAAAGAGCCAAAATCAACCGGCGTCCAGGCCTACCGTCACACAAACCTCAAAGCTCATCCATCGCAAAGAAACACACACTAGATCAGGCTTTGTCCAAGAGGTGGTGTTGGAACTTATGTCCAAAACTCTAATTTGTCTTCTCTGTTCATCGTAGCATGTCAGCCCTCTTATCCCTCAACCCACAGTAATTAGTCAGAGGCCCTTCGCCTCTACTTGGTGTGCTCTTACGCTACCCACAGTGGTACTGTGTTTGTTAATTGTTTTAATATCATGTTCCCCACCAAAGTACTTTGTTCGCTACTGTTTCAATAGCATTCACATGTGATTAAATTGTCCACACCAGCAAGTCTTAGTAGTCCTATCCAGCGTTTAGCTTTGATTCTCATTTCATCATCCCTTCGACTCCTGTTTTCATGACTCTTATGATTGAAAAGGACTCGAAGATTCGGAGCCTAAAAATTTTCAAGTTTAGTGTCCATCCATGGGCAATGGTCAGGGCACTGATTGGTGCATGGATTATTTAGGGACAAGTAAACATCAAGGGACGACCGGAAACACGGCGATGCCGCTGAAACGTCCTTGAGAGGAATCAAGAGATACCTTGGAGCAGGTGCGGCACTACTGTTCAAATACGTGATAATAATCAATGAGGGAGAAGAATGCCCCTCAAGGTCATGGCCACAAGGTTCTCCCTGCTAGGCACAGGACAAAGCTTTTGCTACCCTTTTGTCTTCTCGTAGTCGGCATTGTGTGGAGCTCCTCTAGCCTTGCACCTTTTAGCTCCGTTGCGGAATTTCACATCTTTCGGCATCAGGTGAAACCTGCGCACCAGAAGAGGGAAATTCCAGAGGACAACCTTGACGCAGTTGGAGCTTCTGAAACCATCCATTTGAAGGTATTTCGCATCTTTCCGTTCTCTCCGCACGAAAATTGAAAAGTTGAATGCTGTGAAAAATGGCGTGATAGAAATTTTTTTAATGCAGAGACTTTAGAATCTAAATTTGAATTGTCTTAGGATACGGATCTGTTCGTGACATGCCTATTGGTTCAAACAGTGATTGAGCGCTTGGTTTTTTGTGTTCTTAGGAGGCCCTTAGCTTGCGAGACGGTCGAGACACACGAGTTCATACTAGGTCACAGTTAACTGCAGGCAAAAGAACCAAGACTTCAGGTGAAGCGACCAGCACTAATGAAGGCCAAGCGGGCATGACACCGAAGAAAATATTGGTAAAAGATTCAGCAGTATCAACTACAGCGAAAGATGAGGATTCACCGGTAACCAGTGATCCCCACTTTCAAGAAAAGGAAGAGGATTCCTACCCTGACAAGCCAGTAGAAATGGAGGAGATGGACATTCTCCGAACGAAACTTTCCCTCGCCTTGATGCAGAAAGAGAATAGCCTGCATGGCGGCGATTGTCGCATAACTGGCGATTTAATTAGGAGGGGCAATAGATTCGTATTTCATATCCTCGACGAAATTAGGTCTACGTCGTTTCCCGCCTCGCAGAATGCATCGACCACAAAATAAGGCTCATGCAGGGGTAAGTACATATACGTCTACGATCTGCCGCCGGAATTCAATGTGGACCTCGTCAAACGGTGTGATTCCCTTCTGCCCTGGTTTGGCCTCTGTGAGTACTTTGAGAATTCAGGACTCGGCAAACCGGTTGCATCCGACCAGAGGAAAAATCGCTCTTCTCAGATTCTGCAGCCCATTGAGCGGTGGTTCAACACGCACCAGTATTCCTTGGAGCTCGTTTCCAATTTTTGAATTATGAAATATCGGTGTCGGACGGATGACCAAAGCAAGGCGCCCTTATTTTACGTTCCGTATTATGGTGGGGTAGATGTAATCCGGTGGCACTGGGCTCTTAATGCCACGAATGAGAAGCAGGATGCTCTTGGCCGGCAGCTGGTGCGCTGGCTCGAGAAGCAGCCTTCCTGAACGCGGCTGGAGGGACTTGACCACGTGCTAGTGTTGGGCAATATCTCCTGGGATTTCAGGCTTCAGATCACTGAGGACTGAGGGAGTAAGTTGCTGGAATTCTCCAAGATGCAGAAAGTGACGAAACTCCTCATCGAGCGCAATCCATGGCACAGGAACGACATTGACATGCCGCATCCCACTTTCTTCCACCCCAAATCGACTTCCGACATACGCAGGTGGCTAGCTCAAGTGGAATCCCATAGTGGAACTAATCTACCGAGCTTTGTCGGCAAAGACCTTCACCTGGATCCGAATAATGTACGTGACACTCTCATCCGCCAATGCCACAACGCATCGGCAAACAACGACTGCAAATTCTTGGAATGCGAACGCGACAAGTGCCTGTTACCCGCACATATAACCTAGGTCTTCCTCACCTCGCACTTCTGTATTCAATCGCCACGCGACAGCCCCACGTGCCTTGTTCGACCCCCTCGTCGCAAGGTGCATTATGGTGTTGTTTAACCCCTGCATGGCGTATCCACAGTACCCCTGGCACCTGCCTCGCAACATGTCCTCCTGGTCGGTATATGTCTCCGAGAACGACGTCAAGACAGGCAATGTGAACGTGATGGATTTCTTAAGAAAGATCTCTTCACACGACCGCATCAAAATGCGTCGAGTCATTATCAACGACATCATCCCGAAGATCATTTACGCTGAGCCAGGCGCGGATGTGGCACCATTCCAGGACGCCTTCAACATTGTGCTGGAGAATCTCCTGCACCGCGCATCTCACTCTCCTGATCTGGACCAAGTCTCCCCTGACTAGCTGAGCCCGAGTCAATCTACAACGAATTATTACCTCTTTGGATGCATCAGCAGTAGTCACATGTGGAATCAAGCAACAAATCCAGATGTCGTTCTCAGATGGGTCTCCTAAAGACTGGGCTTCTGGTGTGAAGGTTGAAGTCCAAAGTGAGAACATACAAATTCATTATCTTAATTAATATGTTGGCATATATATATATATATATATATATATTTTAATATGTTATAGGAAGAGAGAAAAAAGAAGGAAAGAAAGAAAGAGAGAGAGGGGAATGATGTTTTTAGTTCACATTTTAAAGGCTCTCATGAACTTTTTTTAAATTGATGAAGCTGTAGTTTAGGATTCATGACGAAGGGTTTTCACATATTCTTTTGTGTCCATTCAGAATCTTTGTTAGATATTAATAAATGTAAAACATACATTTTTCAGGGTTATAATATTTTCATTATAAAAACACAAAGATTTTTATGTGAAGAAAATTTTAATGATTTAAAAAAAATGTATCTAATAGTAATTAAGATAATGGAAATGTTGGAAGTGCATGAGTATGCATCAGTGTGTCTTAGTTGGAAGTGTGTTTTCCAACATCTTCTCTCAAACCAGTAACTCTCAATTCTAATGGATTGTAGTATCAAAAAAATTCTTGTTTAGTGGACAAGCTCAATGCTTAGCATTGGGAGCAAACAATGGAGTTGTAAAGGAAAGAAAATCAATCTAGTGGTAAAGCTTTAGTTAGTAGATTGGCAAGATGTGCGGTTGAATTAATGTATTGGATGTTGATTTCACCCAAATGCTAGTACTTGTGTATGAAATGATGTATGATGCCAATGTGTTTTGTACAATGGTGAAAGTTAAGGTTGTGAATGAGCTGAATGGTGCTTTGATTGGCAAAGACAAAGCATATTGCCTTGCTTGGCTTACAACATAAATTTTTGAGAAGCTAATGATGTCAAATGATATCCTTCTTTGTAGACCCTGTGGTTGCATATTCAAACTTGGTGGTAGGGGTAAGGGTGCAACTTTGTTTTCTACTGAACTATTAGACAAGCATCTTGTTAAGAAGGAGCAACATGCAAGTGTAAGACTTTCGATTTGTCACATTTCTTGTATAATCAACATCTCCATATCCTTTGAGTAGTATTGTCTTGGTGGAAAGTACTTACAAGATAATAAAAAAATTGTGCTACGGCCTAGTAATGTTGGTATTTTGGATTTTTTGAGAATTGTACAATGGTACTCATGGCATAATTAATGTTAGGGCGACTGAGGGTCTATACATAAAGGAGGCATCTTAGAGCAAAGGAGTAAAGAATTCTTAGCCATTGTCAAGATAGGTGGTAGAAAGAATTCTTTGCCATTGTTAAGTTTATTGTTGGAATTTGTGAACTAAAATAAACCTCCTATTAATTGGAAGTCTAATTTAATTTATAATAATCCCTAGTTTAGGTGATTTATTCTACTTCACAACTTTTAATTAACTCATGAGTTAATTACATAAATTTCTTCTTATTTTTTCATAAAAGAACTTAAATTATCTAGCTAATTAAACTCACACTCAAATAACCATAAATAATAATATCACTACTTAAATAATTCAATAATATTACAATGAAAAAAAAATCTATGGTTTTTATTAAATTTTTTTTAATATTAATTACTATTTAAATTTAAAACTTTATTTAAGAATAATTTCTTATTTTTAAATAAATTTATATCTAAAAATTATTTTTTATCTATAAATAAAAATTTATCTATTTAAAAAAATTATTCACAAAAATTCATCCAATTTGACCTAGCTTCATCTATATTATTTTTTATCAAATAGAATTCAAATTCATCATCAATTTTTGTCCATATGATTCATCTATAATAACAAAATAATTATGACTTTGTAAAGCTCTTACAAAGTTATTATATACTTAAATCATTCATAATCAAAGCTCAAAGAAACCTTATCAAGTTTGCTCTCAAATTGAATTCTTCAATCTACAAAAGAATTTTGGAGTTGTCGTAGGTGCCTAGTTTTGTACCTCACAATCTGATTTCGACCCAAGTTGATAATTGGTCCTCTTGTCACGGACATATAAATTTACTCCAATAGTTACTGATATGATTAGGTAGAAATAGGTAAATATAGATTAATTCCATAAATTCTTTTAGAAAAGCTTCTGAGAAGCTTTATAGACGCGGTTTTGATTTTAGATGTGTTAGTAGGTTAGAAACTTGGCCAACAAGCTAACCATGTGTTGGTAGCTTGTAGAACAAGTTATCTCCGTGTAGTAGCTTGTAGAACAAGCTAACTACGTGGTAGATACATAGATAACTTGCCTTGCAAGTTAAGACATATGGCTAGCAAAGTCAACACATGTTGGAGGTCCTATAGGACATTGCCACATAGCTCTTAGTTAGATAATATATATGAAGG